AAAAAAAAAAACACCCCGGGCCAGATGAGTCGAAATGGCGTTAAATCTTAGAAACCTTGCGAAACTGGCAAAGCTTCATGGAACACCATCGAAATTCGGAAATTTTTGAGCAAACCCCTTCGGACAACTTTCACGCGAATCCAGAGGGTATCATATGACGGTGCCGATGAAAACGTGCAAGAACTCAATGGAATGCAAGAACCAGGACTCGCAACTCCTCCAAGTCGTGTTGTACTTGAGCTGGAGCTCGGCGCGGAATTTTCGGCTCACGATGGCATTCGCCTTCAGGCCCTCGCGGGCGTGGGGATACGAGAAGTAGATGTCCTCCTTGAAGCCGTCGTGGAGGATGTAGGCGTTGTCCAACACGGCGAAGCGGTAGCCAGCCACGTGCAGTTCGCACATCTGCGATAACGGCATACTTTGTACATATCGCATCATTACTGAGCTAAAAGCGGCAGAAATTTGAGGCACTCACATAAGCAGATCGGTCGTAGCCGTAATTGCGGAATCTCTCGTCGAAGGAGGGCGCGGAATTCCTGGAGATGAAGAAAGGCTCGTACATGTTCTTCCACTTGACTTCGTATCCCGCCCAGATCCCCTTCCGCGAGGGCAGCAGCTTCCACCTCTTGTAATGAGTTGCTCCCTGGTGGGGAAAATGGATGTGGAATGGTACTTTAATTTCCAGTGATAACCAGAAGCAGTCTAAGCGAATTGGGAATTGTTCTGTCATCCTAACAGACTGCAATGAAAACTGTTGGTCTTCACCGTCCCATTTGTAGATTTTCCGTTTCTCGTTAACCTTTGCATAATTTCAAAGATTTCTGACGGTATCTTTTAGAGACGTTCAGAACCACATGTACCTGTATATAAAGTATAGACATATATATTTCCAAAAAAAATGAAGACCAGCTCACACCGGCGCGTAAATCTCGGTGCCAGGAGTTCCCAGGGAACATCCCATATGAGTTGCGTCTCTGTAAGCCTCGTCTTAATGGAATTAATTTAATTAATGGCGTAGCATGCAGCTGGGTCTTTTCGATCGTAAGGAGACCCAAAGAACGCTCGAGTTCGACGAAAAACGCGGAAAATCTGGAAATTTCCTCTGCTCATTCCTCAACTCCAAGGGAAAAAAATAACAAGCTTGATCAGTTGGATAGAAAATTCGATGACCGATTGTAAGAGATGCTCGTGTTTGACTCATTTGGCTCTTTCGCCCTTGCGAAGGAGATTCACATCCGCGTATTCTCTCTCATCATTGTATTTTCCTTCTCGAACCGGAATTTAAATGCGCCATTCCATTTTTCTGCTTACATTCGCAGAAAAATTTTTCAGAGAATTGAATCATCCCTCTTCCACGAAAAGACGGTTCCAGCAGGTAGCGACCGAAAGCTTAATGTCGTCCGCGGAAGCTCATTGTCGTCAACGAAATGTCAAGGTCAAATGACTGGAGCCTTTTCCCTGAAATCCTCAACTTCGTAGCCTCGATGTTTTTTATTTTGATTCCTTACTAAATATGAATAGAAATACATCAATTGCTGAAATTCAAACGCAGGGATGCCGAAAGATTCGCAAAATCTGCCACGTGCCGAGAACTTCTACAATACGTCCATTGCCCAATTCTTATTTCCAATTTAAGCAGTAAATAAATGTGCACAAAGTGCCGCAAATGAATTGGAACCCGTTATAGAGCCTGTCGCAAAATTTGGGCTTTCTGCAAATCCACCTGGAGAGGCCGCGAATCCTCGGACGGGAAACGGTTCGTGGTACAATGCGCCATTAGATCGACACTTTCGCCCAGGCGATACTCAGAAACGACATCGGCAACCTCGAACATGTCACGACATGGCACATGGCACATGTCACATGGCACGACGCCCCCGGAATCAGTCGATTTCCTACCGTTCTCACGGAGTCCACCTTCGCCGTTGGCTTTGTTGTCGGCCTCTCCCAGGGTCAATCGACCTGTTCGACTATTCGATGGGGCATTCCGACGACACCCGTGGGTTTCCATCTTCCTCGCTCTCCCTTAAGACTTCCTAAAGACCCTCACTTTAATGAACAATAGTTCATTAAGATAACCTATATACTTCGTGTTCTTTGGGGTAAGGGCCCCATAGCATGGTGAGATATTCCACTGAGATATTTAACCAATATTGGACCAATGAAATTTACCCAAAACGGGTCAAATATTGACCCAAACCTGGACGAGCATTGGCCTTACACCGGACCATTATTGCTCCAAACTCGAACCAGCAGCGGTCCAAATCTGCGTCGACATTGCAATCTTGGCAACCCCCTTCAAGCAACCCCCTTAGCAACCCCCTTCAAGCTCTGCAGCTCCATCAACTGCCACAACGAACATGAATTTCCCGAGAGAATGTGATGCCATGACAACGAGGGGAAAGCAGCGGTTCTCAACCTTCAAATCCTTTTCCCAAATTCATGCGACCTGCACAATTAGTAACGTCCAGAAATAATGCAGCTGCGTGACTTGATATTTAAAAAAAAAGCAAACGAATTGAATTTAAAAAAAAACGGAAATGACTCTTAAAAGGTATTGCTCTGGGCACTGGCCATTCCTTCATTATTATTCGTACTTTCTGTTTCCTCTTCGATCTTCATTTTTTCTTCCTGTTAAACCTAAATAATTTACTACAGGATATTATAGATGATTTCAACTTCCTTAACCCGAACCCTCCAAAAAAATAGAGAAGGTTCAGGTAGCAGAGAAATGAAGTCGAGAAAATGAACATCGGCTTCAAGTCGGCAAAAAAAATGCAACGTCACCTTTAACCAAGGCACTAAGGAGAACTGATGAGGTCGTTGGAGACGGAGCTTACGAGCAAGATTGATTAGGAAGACATTTTAAAGCTGCTTGCCCCCTTCGAGGGAATGTTTGCCTGCGAGCCTTCTTCGTGTGCCGCCTTCTAATCGGGATTAATAGATTAGATTTTTTTATGGAATGTCAAGCTCTAGGAATATAGCCGGTTTGACACTCATGACTGATTTCTGACTTCTCAATACCTCTCTATCTTTTACTTTTGATTCATTTCATTCCCTTGTGACCCACCGGTTGAGAACCACTTGTGCAAACCGTACTTAACCTAAAAAGCTGCATTCACGCGCAGAACCACTTAAATTCGTCCACGAGTCTACAGATCACTAACCTGCTGGAAAATGGAGACCGCCGCATAAAATGGTCGAATCTTCCCCTCGCGCAGGAGAGATACGACTTCGGATTTGTTGTTTGGCGTGGGCATCCCCATGTCGCCCTCGAACGCAATGTTGAAACAATATTGATGGCAACATTTATTCAACATTCCTCAACGAGTCCCTCGTGATTGGGTTTCTCCATGGATAAAGTAGAGGTAAATTCATCAAAATGAATCGCTTGACCTGTGGACGATGAACTACATATACAAAAGAGGATAAACCTTCAGTATCTATAGGTCAGTACCCACAGAGTACTGAGAAGTTTGAGAGAATAGGTCCTCTTCAGTTCTGCAAACAGAAGAAACCAAATTCTCAGGATACCAGGATAAATTCTCTCAGTTCCTCTCTTAGAAGATTTGTGAATGGATCACTTCAGGTTATTCTTGTGTGTGCTCTACACGTCTCCAATCGCCTAGACTTCTATGCGCTCACACTAAACCTTGACATTAAATTTGTTTCAGAATCAGATTCTGCTATCAGAACATAATAATTCCACATTTCTCTAATATATGTGTTCATTGATTACATAATAATAAGAGGAAAGTGGGAAGAAAACGCTTTAATGGAAGGTGACAGATCCGTAATTGCATTAGGAGGCTACAGGGGAACATGGATGCCATCTAGTGAGCACTCTTGGTACTTCATTATGAACGCGCCTAGACAACACTACCCTAGTAACATAACGTCCATAAGAGGATGCAAGACGTCTCCACGATGACAGTAGGATAATTGGAAATTGTTTATGTATTTGTTTCCGAGTTAAAAAAAAAATCATTATTCGAATACTTTATAATAAACGGCATGCAACTCAATAGTTGTGGAGTCTCATTTTTTCCATATTGAAACCATGTTGTGGTAGGTTGATAGTAGTCCTAAAACCTATTGGAGAGGTCCCACCCTTCATCATTTTAAGAGGGGTTAACAATTATGCCACATCTAATGAATATAATCCGAATATTCCCCAATTGGAATCCACATTGTGATGCGACGACATTGTATCAACATTGAAACAATGTTTACCTTCAACATTCGCACACTCAATCCACATCCAATCCATGTTGATTCAATGTTCTGTGTTACCTGGGTATTGACGATGATTTTAATACTTATTTTAATACTTATAAAACTTATCGAGGAATTAGAGAAATTCTGGCATGAGGGAATGACAGCCATACCACGTTCTACCAATACGTTCGTCACTTCATGACAAAATGCGTCCTTGGATGCAGACTCTCAAAGTCAATGGTCCCCTTATTGTCCCATTACGTCCCATTACGGTCCATTACGTCCCATTACGGTCCATTACGTCCCATTACGGTCCATTCATCCTCGTCTCTCAGGTTCTCCTCTCGCGAGAGGAAAATTCGGATCGAACCTTGAGAAAACTCTCTGAACTCATTGATTCATCTGCTAATCGTCGGGAAAAAAAATTGCAAAAAAAAATTGGAAAAGACGACCATCGCAATTATGAGTATGACCAGTATGGACTGCGCTCGGGTGATTTTTTTTCAATTATTTTCCATTAATAACTGATAATTTTGCTTCGTCTCCTGAAATTCTTACTGAAAATTTCAGAATCAGTGTGTAGGTCTTGCCAAAGTAATTCCATTTCGAACTGAGATATTATATTAAAATTCGTTGGCCTTTTCTGTCGTACCCAGCGTTAGAATAGAATAATAATAAAAATAGAATAATAACAAAATAGAATTTTCATCCTCCCCAAATTATTTCAATTTCTCTAAAAGAAAAACCCTGCAGGATAATTTTCCCCAAAATTCGAATTCGGGATCGGATTCTTATCCTCTAACATCTTGGGCTCATTCCTTTGCAGGAAAATTCCACAACTTTAGCAGCTTCAGCTGCAAAACGTTCCATGTTATTCGTTTAGGATCCTTCCCAGCAAATTTAAGGGAAGAGGAACTATTATTCCTATGCAATTGAGCAAGCAATTGTTGGACTCCAGCATCGCTTACGAGCTATAATAATGGCCTTAGCGACATCATTCACCCGATTGACTTGGATCGCAGTTGAAATACTTAGGAGAAAAATCTATTCGCTTAATAACTCCTTGTCACCTAGAGTCACTAAAATCGTGTGCACCTGCTATTTTTATGTACTCTTGAGGTCAGGTGTATTTATTATATGTCACTGAGAAGAAGTCACAACCTAGGCAGTTTTATGGAGCATCTTATCGCAGAATATAAATTTCTATCTATCTATTCTATTTCTAGAAATATCGTGGAAACGTCGATAATTATTCTGACACGAAAGTCCGTTCCTTCTACCTCCTAGAACTCCATGGCGTTTTGCTTTCTGGTAGGCAATGGTAGCATAATTTCTGCTTCTTTCCTGCCTCTGGACGGTAAGCAGCCGGTCGGAGCGCTGCGCTACGTTCACGAGCTACCTCGTGACCCACTGGGTCCACTACAGGAGACCCAAGGCACCCCTCGGGGTCCTCGCAGGCGCCGCGTCGAGCAGGATCCCGAACTCCTCGGTGTCGTCCAGGGTCATCCCCGGATGGGCTGCCTTCAGCCTCTCCACCAGNGGGTGACCCAGGTGA